TTATTTTCAATATTACGTGATTCTACAAACTTTTGTACATCAGGTTTTAGCAAACCTTATATATACTCCTGTAGAATATTCAGTACAAATTTTCAAATATTTTTAAGCAAAATTTAGACAACGAAGAGTTAGCTAGCAGTCTAGCACGATTTGATACATAGTGACATTTAGATTAGGAGTTAAAAAATGTAATGTTGTAGTCCTGTTAGATTTGACAATTGTTATAATTAGTACATCCAATACCTAAAAAAAGGTATAAAATTTCAAAGAATTGTAGCCTTTAAGCAATTTTTATCACCTTTTTTTTTTTTTTAATGAATATTGTTTTTAAGAGAGAGAGCTTACCATCACTAATTCATTAGTAACTCTTTTATCTTGTCTTATGACTCTTGTATATCTAAAGGAAAAAAAAAAACTCATCTTCGGATGTTAATTGAATAATCTTATTAGAGTTTACATCAAATTTAGCAAAGATCAACTCTGAGTGGGATACAACAAAATGAAATCTGAAAAATAAATATAAAATAAAAATAAATGAAAATAAAAAGAAAAGGAAAAAGAATGGTGGCACGTTATAATAAGTGAGAGTGTATCAAAACAAAAAAGAAATACTTGGTACAAGTTTTACAACTGTTTGGGGTTGAATTGAGAATCTTGGTCTGCCTTCAATAGTTCAATTAAATCAAGCAAAATGAAGCAAATTCAAAAGATATATCCCTTTCCAAAATAGGTAGGTTATCAGAATGAAAATTAACTTTAAACATTTCTTTTCCAGTCACAATCTTGTACATAAGTTGTAAGACATAATAGTACTTGTCATAACATTGCAATTACAATGGAACTCTTCGTTGTTTAACCCTACCATTCAAAGCACAAACCACATGTACAACTGAATTTCAGCTAGTTGTACTTAGGCAATCCAGTTTAGATCCGTCAGATATTGTAAATGTGGAGCACTCATTTAGACCCTTATTCCGTGAATTTTTTAAATGCAACATGTCAACATGTCTATTATAACATTCGGGTGTATCTAAATAGAGAAAGGACAGCATAAAACTGTCTTATACGGAAAGAAATAAAATGTGTAAAACAACAAAATCATGTTAATGTTTAAAGAAATCCAACAAGAAAAGAAAGATGAAGGTAAAAAATAAAGGATGAATCATAGCAGCAAATTCTCCAGACTTGGATACAGGAATGATGATAGCAACAGGAGTCTTCGCTGGCATTGACTATAAAGTTGACAGCTTCATGCAAAAAGATTATAATCAATTGGGTAATTGTCTACCTGAATACAATTTAGAAAACCATAGACCTGTACTTGTAAAATTTAATAAACTAATTTAACACCCTAAAGAACCTACAAGAATTTACCCAGAATCCAGGAATTAGATCTGAATGATCTTTCAATTATAAAAATATTCAGAAACAGAACAACAGATCAGGAGCTCAGGTTCAGTAGAGTTACTTTCACTGATCTGAATTCACTTGATCATTAAGTCTCGTCGCTGAGCAAAGTCAAAAATTAGTTCATATGATTAGCAGGTATATAATTAATGAAAAGAAGTGGAAATCATGATTATCTGCTAATTTTTAAGATTCAAAGAAAACAATCCCCATTCAGTCCATGAAATCATTACAGCAGCTTCAATAGTTATAATTTTACACAGACTTGTATGAATGGTGGCAGATTAAAGAGAAAACCAATATATTTAATTAGTCTTACTTTACTTTTTTTTTTTTATTAATATGGAGTCAATTAACTCTATAATGATTCGAACATGTCAGCACTCCTTAGATCATTATCAAATGCATTCTCGAGAAAGGCGGAAGGAAAGAATGCTGCTCCTTAAAGCCCCTTACATGATAAAACAAGATAAGATTATTGAGAGAAATCATTGCTTAAGTAGTTTATTCAAGCTTTGCAAAATAATCAATCATGAATCTTGGCACAGAAGAATCTGCGAGGCGCTTTTCAATACAGCCCATGTGTCTAAGTCATTTCTAGAACTAATATTCATACCCCCTCTCTCTATTGATATTGGTGAGCCCCTTAATAACTTTCAGGTATAATACATAGATCAAGAGTTGATTGGTCACCTTTTAAGGTATGCATTGGAATGTCCCATCCTCCTAACTATGCTTCAAAGTGCCAAGTGACCTGTTACATTTTATCATCTCAATATAAATATAGTCATCAACCAGAAAAGAGGTATATAGATAACTAAAACAAGTATCACGACCCAGCATGTTAAAGATGAGATAATCGCTTTCATTCAGCACCTTTATCTTGAAGTAGCAGATAAATCTTAGCACTCTTCACCAGGAAATAAATAAATCAAAAGGGGAAGGGGGAGGGGGGGGGGATTATGATCTTAAAAATCGTACATAATTGCAAAAGAAAATGGACCCTCAAACAAAGTAATGATATTATGAGGTTCGGAAGAAACGACAGATTGTCAAGAACTGTATATTAAGATATTCTTTATCCAAATGTGTAAATACTTGAAGGTATGGGGAGCAACCGGGCAATAGAGTTATAGAGCTCAAGTGTCTAAAACAGACAAGGGTTTCAATTCTGACATTGACATAAGAACTAACAAAGCCATGTCCTCATAATGCAAGGATCTTCTATGCAATCTCATGATCACCCAATCAATCCCAACAAAGAGTCCACCATAGATAAGAAATCAATTCACCGAACAGCTTTGGCGTTTTCCAGATCTAAGACAGTGATGACATATACCTAGAAACTACAGTCCTGTACTACCTGCAAACTGCAGCCTTTGTTACAAAGGAACAGTATGGATATGTATCCCAATATTCAGCAATAAATTAAGCTCAATACATCTAGTCGCCAACTTAACATACCAAAAGTCACTACCATATATTTTTCATGCCCAACAGAATACAGAAATTATAGAATTTCAAATGCCTACACAATTTACACCTGTGAAAGCCCTCTAGAATTACATATGAGAATGTTATTGGGTAAGAGTTTAAGAAACTCACATCACTCTAGATATTCCTGAATTTGAGATGAATGAGATCCACAAGTATGTCCTGCTAACCAAGAGAATGCTACTCTAACCTACCCAAAATTGACCTTAAATGAGAAGTCAAAATTTAAATTCATAAAACTTTGATCAGTAATATATACACACTTTGTTGATCTAAAATGTACAGTTGTACAATTATACTTGTTGGATTTGTTTTAGAAATTGTTATTAGACATATAATATTGAACTTTTAACTATTACATTACTTTTAGTTATTGCTATTTAAGGTATGTCCCTTCAGTATTGCAATTCTTCATAATGACCATTCTGTATTCACTATTCAGGACAAACTAAGTACAGTTAGAACTTAATAGTGCTTTCATGTAAAATAATGCCTAAAGCTATTAGACATAGAAACTTTAACTACATAATGTAAATATATGCATCACCCATCAAATGTTATGCCCTCCAAAATCCTAAACAGTGATGGCTGATTGGCTGTCAATAGCACAATTTAGATGAATAGATGTCATTGCAATAGACACCTAGTGGGCTAAGTACTTAGAGAGTACAACAACTTTTAATTGCATAACATTACTTCTTTCTTGAGGAGGAACAGAAAGAGGATATGTACTTATGTAACCAGCCCTAAAATTATTACAGGCAATTCTATCACACAAATCAAAGAGCCGGGCACCCCCCCCCCCCCCCCTAGCTCCCATAACTCCATACACAACAGGGTTGAGTCTAGCTAAAATACAATAACAAAGAGGGCATTTCCTTCCCCTCTTGCATGATTATAGATTGTATGAAGTAATGTAAGTACTACATATATATGAGAGACAAAACCAAGAAATTTTCAGGGGTGGCTTATATCACGATCTTCCATTTCACCCATAGAGGGCAACAAAAAAACTTCTGCCTTCGTCTTGAGTTAAAAGTAGAACTATGGAAATAAATTGAGTTAGATAACCAAACTGTACTAGCTAAATGACAACTCTGAAACCTTGCTCAGCCCAATTGAGTTAGATAACCTAACCAAAGCTGTATACCAATATCTTTAAACAATAAACATAGAGATGTTGTGTACAACAGAACAAGCACATAATCCTAGGTTTTTTGGCAAGCGTCTTCACATATTAACCGTGCAGTATACATGCATATATCATAGATAAATGAAAAAATTCGGAGATCAAGCCAAAAGATTGACATGAATAAACTTTAAAAAATAAAAAGTAAAAGGTCCCACGTTTTATACAGCACCCAAGAACGATATCAACATTAGGAATTGTCAAATTAGGTTACAAGTACAGAGCTTTCCGATAATGCTATTCCACCACTAGAGCACATACCTGTATTCAGTATTCGTGTAGCCCAGTGACACAGGAGCACGTAAGACAACCTTAAAACCACATATTAATCTATAGCTTGTCACGGCGATGGAATATATTCTTTTGCCACCTGCATCCAACCGAAACTTAAAGTGAAATTGGGGATGGCTTTTGTTGAAAGTCCAAACCAAACACATACTCTACTCAAACTCACTTTGTTACAGGGGAAAGAGGTAGCAGCCTAGCTCAGTCAGGGATACTTTATACATGTAGCAACAGATAGCATATTACTCCATAATATGTTAAACCAACTACATTAGCAACAATCCATTAAAAGCAAAAAAACAATAATGGAAAGAAAACCGGGGCATCATTAGTTCATATTATTATATGATTGTATATAATTCAATTCACACAAAAAGAAAATTGTTGGGAATACCTGCTGTAAACTGCATTTCACTCTACATAAATTCACCTCCAAGTTCCACAAAAGCTTCTCAATCATCAACAGAAACCAAGCTCTTAAGAATGCCAAAAGCTGAATCAAACAATGAACCCAAAGAAACAGGGCCTCAGAGACAACAACATTCAAAGTCTAATCAAGTTAGCCAATCTTCTCTAAGGGTTAAGTTTCATAAAATGCAGTATATTAGTAGCAAACAAGTCTCACTTGCAGAGGGAAAAAACTTGATTCATTAATCTGAACGGATACAAAGTATACCATAGTACCATACACTATTACAACACTTAAGGTGGATTACAGAACTAGACCTGCTTAGGATATATTTTTTACAATCAAGCATTGGATGAATAAATTCATTGACAAATGGTAAATAAACTGAAACTTCATTGCATAGCCATAATTAGGAGATTAGTGCTGCTTTATGTCAATGCTGGAAAGCACAACTTCCAGTAGTAATATAAAGCACTTCTATATCTTCTGGATGAAGAACAAAGAACAAATATAAGTCAGCCTTCTTCTGACTCGCGTATAGCTTCCATGTTATCTTCTTTGTAGACACCGAGGGGGGATCCATGTACAGAAAGAAGCATCTCCCCAAGTTTAGGCAATCTACGGGTTTTAGGTGTCATCCCCACAGACAATCTCTGGCTTTCAGCCCCAGGAGTTTGAAGACCTTCTGGCATCCCAAGCATCATGTTATTAAGTGACTCTTGAGACAAGTATGTCCCCATCTGCAGATCATCAACACCCACAAGGCTTTTCATAGCCTTGCCCGAAAACTGAAATCCACCAAAAGACTGCCTTGCATCAGAATAGGCAGGATAAGCCATACCCATGTGTTGGAAGAGGGAGGCATGAATATCTCTACCACTAGGGTTATACATGGACAAATTACCATCATCATCTTTCCATCTTAGATCAAAATGCTCATCCTCATCATTTCTAACTACTGAAACATTAGGAAGATTTTCCCTAAAAAACTCCAGGGCAGGTTTTTGCAACTGTTCCTCATTGAAATATGAACGAACCAATCGCAACTCGGTAAGGAGATGTTCAACTTCCATTTCAGAAACAGCCTTGATTGCACCAATCTGGCGTTCGAGTTCTCGGTGTGTGGACGAACCCCCATTCATCTCCTGTTCAGATTGCCTATCATCAACCGCAATCACATTATGTCATTATCATTGGATGGTAAACAGGCCCGTCCCAGAGCCGGGGCAGCCGCCCTCGGCCTAGGAAGTAAAGGTCCATTTCATAGTTCCTTCCTAACATTAAAGGGTTATAAACTAAGCTTGCAACATATTTGCAACTACATTTTACTCAATTATCAATTTAGGCTCCAAAAATCACACAAAATTCTTCCTGCTTAAGAATATCAACCGAAATTGCACATAAGAAAATACTAGCAACGAAATCGTTCATTATAATCTTTCATAACTGCAGTAAATATAACAAATTGTTCAATAATCCAGCAAAGAAGAACCCTAAATTGACTACACAGACAATTAAATTAACGATAAGTGTAACTAAACCCTAGATTGTGAAATCAAATTTCGATGAATTAAAAAAACATATTACCTCAGAAACTGCTTCGATGAAGAAGAAAAGCTTAGAAGCCGCTTCAATGGAGAATTTAGAGTGCGCGCTTCAATTGGAGTAAAGTGAGAGAGGGGATGACTGAAGTGAAAAACTCCAACGGGGAAGAAAAAGATGAAGATTTTTTATTTTTTTATTTTTTTCACGGGAGATATATCTTCATTTGAAATTTAAGTATGCTTCGAAATTTATCTCTTTGACTTGGACGAATTTCTATAACCCCTTTCTATAATAAGGGATTAAGCATAACATAAAATCATAAATAGAGTCATATAGAGATTATAGAAAGATAATTTTGTCAGAAAATTAGAATATATATACTACGTACTCCGTATATAGCATTACTGGAGTATTATTATTACGTAGTATATTAAGTTGTAACGATCTATACTCTTAGAACAATGGGATACACGTCAAGTTATGTAGTTTCACATAATTTGATAAAGAGGAGTAAACTAGTGTTTACCCGTCAAAAACACTAGGAATTTTGGAGTTTGAAACAAACAAGCAAGTGCAATAATAATGTTATCAAAATTAAGTGGGAGTTTATTTTGTGCTCTCCAAAATCTAAATAATTCAAATGTGATTGATAAGGAAGTACTCGCGAAATGCTTGAATGAGATCATTCATGCTCTTCGTGATGCTGGCGTTAATTTTATGTTAATCAACCACCACATCCCTTCTATGGAAGGTATTATACACTTGTATATTCATTCTATCATCTATCTTTTAAATTCCTTTTTATATTATGCATTGATAAGCTAAGCATGAAATTGAAATATTCACATGAAATCTGATCTAGTAAACAGTGGCGTCTCTAGGATTTGCGAAGTGTGGGTTCGAAACTTCAGAAGTTCAAAATCAAAATTAACAAAGGGATGAAAATATAATAATAAAAAATTAAGTACATAAGTTCATATTATGGATTACAAATAGATTACACATAGAAAAATGAAAAAATAAAACTACAGAAGCATTTTTCGAGTATATCTCAAATTCATTATATATCACTATACCACAATGGCACAATCTACAATTTTACATTATATATCATTATATCTCAAATTCCCAATCAAATTAGCAATTATCATTTACCAATAACTCAATACGACAATAAAGGCAGCAAGGCACTAGTCACTTAGTCAGGCACTCAAGGCCACAGGCAGCAAGGCAGCAAGGCACTTGGCAGCAATTCAACAAGACAACAAATGCAATTAGACTAAAACTAAAAGACAACATTCAGTCAGTCACAATTAGTCAATTAGACAATTTCTGAATTTCGACAACAATCACAACATTCACAAATTACAATTAGACAATTTCAATAACATTCACAAATCACAATTAGACAATTTCGAGTTTTCGACAATTGACAACAATGAAATCATGAAAGACAGAAAGACAGCATTATCGCATACTCGCATTGAGCATTCACAATCACAGATTCACAGCAAGGCGGCAATAAGCATTAAAGGAAACCGGAAAGGCAAGCTCACCAGACACCAGGTCGACTGGCAGAGGCCGTGCCGCCGTGAGCCGATTGATCGAAGCGCCGTATGCGATAGCGGTATGTTGAAGGACTGAAGCGTCACGAACTGATTGATTGAACGAAGGTGGCCGGTGAAGGACGACTAAAGGCGGAATGCGTCACGGAGTCACGGACTAAAAGGCGGCCGGCGGGAGGAGGGCGGCGATTGGCGAGATTTAGGGGAGTAGGAGTTTAGGGGAGTTAGGGTTTTAGAATTTGGGGGAAAAGTGGAAAACTGTTCGTGATAAACAGTAATGTAGAAAACTAGAAACCAAAAAGAGAAAAAAATTAAAGTTAAATAAGCACTGAGCTGCACCTTTACTTCTTGACATTTGCTACACAGATATTCGTTTTAACCGTTTTCCAGTTTTTGTATTTTTATAAACAAATTTCAAAAAATCAGTGGGTTCAATGAACCCACATTGGCTCCGCCCCTGCTAGTAAAGATTGGTGTTTAAGGTGTGAAAAGATTCAATAGGGAACTATATGATCTTTTTATAATTGATACCATTGGATGACTCAAATAAACAAGAGGCTTCTCTATTTGAAGAAATGCAGCATCTTGTAGAGGCAATGAAGCCAGATCTTGTAATGTTTGTCATGGATAGTAGCATTGGTCAATCTGTATTCGATCAAGCTCAGGCCTTTAAGCAAAGTGTTGCTGTTAGGTCGTTAGGGTCATGATTATACCAAACTGGATGGTCATGCAAAGGGAGGTGGTGCTCTTATTGCTGTGACTGCCACCAACAGTCCTGTGATATGCATTGCGACAGGAGAACAAATGGATAAACTTGAAACCATTTGTTAGTCGCCTTTTAGGTACATACTTTGATTTATCCTCGAATTCTTTATGTATGTATCGAAACGATATGTATGTATCCTGAATCGATGATGTTTTACTTCATTCCATTAGGCATAGGTGACTGGTCGGGGTTTACTTCGTTCCATTAGGCTGATTATTATGAATGAATAAAAGGTAATTTAAGCAAACCATCTCAGACAACTCTCGTCAATTTATTGATTACTCACCACTGTCAGGAGCTACGGAAACTGCAAGTCTCAGATGAATTGCAACTACAGAGTATCAGAAATTATTGTCTCAACACTTCTTGCTAAATATGACTTTAAATTATTAAAAAACTTGATGCAACAATTACTGAAAAAAGTTATAAATGAAAGTATCACTCTCATCAGTGGTAGAATGCTGCGAATTTATGGAGCCATATCACAGATTAAGTACTAGTCCTGTATTTTATCTGTAAATAAGCAGGCAGCCGAGCATAGTAAAACAACCAAGCTATAACGAATTTCTGTCTCTGTCCCATTATTTTTTTCAACATGAGCAAACTAAAAACAACAGTGACAGTGCAAAGTCGCCGAGTACACATCTTCCATACTGCAGACTAGTATACATACATATAATGGTTATTACTGATGATACTTGTTACAGGATACATAACCAGAGAAGGGAAGAACCAGAGAGGCAGAGACTAAGCATAAACCAAAATTTCTTAACATCAGAGGCCGAATACAAATTCTTGTAAAAATTCTCAGCTAAAGCCTATCTGAATCACTAACAGCATAATCAGACTATCAGAGTATCAGAGTACACTGGCAAATAAAGTTGTATATGTATCAGTTGCAGACCCTTTGCTTCTCATAGCGCCAACAAGTTCAAAGTCTTGCTGACATACTTGAAAAAAAAAAAAAAAATTGTATTGTATTTACATTCATCTAGAGGACATCCAATTTCTGTAGCAATTCAGTGGCACCATTCAACAAACCATATTTACAAAGTCCTTTATTTTTTACTACGAAATGCATCTGGCTGCAAGCACTTAACTGTGAGAGATGAGAAGGAAATCAAAGCTTCACACAAGCCATCAATTACGAAGTAAATCTAATGGAAGTCTTGAGTGTTGCTCCTTGATCTTTAACTTCAGTAGCAGTGTAGCACCAGAGAGTGCAAGTTAAGCCTTAGTAAGATCATCCTTTTGTATAGGGAAAAATCCTATACAAAAGGATGATCTTACTAAGGCTTAACAATCCATAAATTATTCATTAACAGTCAACAACCAAACTTCATACATCATGAAAAAAACAATCTGAGTAAAAACTAAGTAGATCATTGTGTGCAACAAGTGTAATTACATAAAATGGTTAAATTGACTCCTTTGCAAAGTAAACACGGTTGGTGCCATCGATCTTCAATGTCATGTTCTTGTATTTGTGACATGGCTTAGATATAGCTATACTTGATCTCTAGTACCGCTAATATTCAAAGGCAGTTATCAGGTAGTAAGAAAACATATGCAACTCCACTGGCAGATAGAAAGCAAACGCAGCAATTAGATAAAAAATTTACAAATTGATCCACATTTGTATCATATGTTCAATAAATTACACGTGTTAAGGTCTTTGCCTACAATCAATCAAAACACATTAAATATAAGACTTACTAATTTACAACATTCCCTCCTATCACGGCTGATCATATATACTTTATTCATTGCTACTTCCACCTTTGCTCCTAACTATTGCTCACTCAGTTCTCAAAAAACATTTTTAGCAAATCCTTGTCTGCATCACCGATATTTGGATCAGCGAGTAAGCCCACAAATGATGATATCGTGTGATTATCAGCAACAAACTCTTTGATTCTCATCAAACCTGACAAGCTCTAATGCTCTCCTAATGTCCTTTCCATCAATAAATCCTCTAATAGTTGTATTAAAGGTGCATTCATCTGGAAAGCATCCATTGTCCTCCATATTCTTCAGTAATTCATCGGCTTTTGCTAGCAACCCTTCTTTGCAAAACCCTTTTATCATTATGGTGTAAGCGCGCACATCGTGCAGCCCTCATCATCGCCTCACTCTCAGTTTTTTATTCTTTCAAAATTTTTCCGCAAAACGCCCATACAACACTTGTATATAAGTATCTCGCAGCACGCAACAGAACTCCAGATTCTCTCTCTGTCTGTCTTTGTAAGGTAGCAGAGGAGGGCAAATCATTTTGCAATGATTTATCAAGTCTTATTCATCTTTTCAATTGAATAATTAGATTAATTTACTCAATTTCAAGTTTTCAACCAACAAGTTAATTATATTCAGCAATACATTGAATTTTGGAAATAAAAATTGAGCAAATATGTGAATAAGTTTAAAAATAGCCTTAGTTATGTTAATCGCTAGTAATAATATGAGTAAGTAGTTAATATCTAATTCTAGCTATAATCTTTTCAATAAATAGCAACATGATTTTCAGCTATGTCTTCAACATCCTACTCTTTATTAAATTGTTTTTGTACTACGTAACCAAACATGATGAAAAATACTCTCTTCATGTTTTTTTAAAGTGTTACATTTTTTTCAAGTATTATACTTTTTTTCTCACTCAAATTTATTACTTTTCAATAAACTATTAACCTCACTATTTTTCTTTTGCAATTTTTTAATACGCTATTAAACTCCTAAAACTATATACCAGTCAAAGTGTACCACTTAAAAATCACAAAGGGAATAATAATGCTGATAACATTTGTTTTGTAGAAAATACAATAGTAAAAAAATTAATCATTAATTTTAAATTTCATTTTTTTTTACTAAAATACGAAGTATCTTTTTTTTTTTTTTTTTCAATTAATAAATCTTACATTTCTTTATTTCCCTAATTTGAAAAACCCAGTTTATTTCATTTATCTCAATTTAGACCTATTGGTCTTTGTAACACGATTATACATTAGTCACAACATTGATTTCTTCTAAGTTGAAACTTGTACCGGATAGTAAGAAGCCACCTTCAATCTAGTTTCATTCAAGGAAAAGAAACAGAGGATAATAATATTATTATAAACGAAATAGCTCACAATTTTTATACAGCAAAAAAAAAAAAAAAAAAAAAAAAAAAAAGCAATAACATAGAAGTTGGGCTTAAATAAGGCTTGTTTCGGATTAAAACAATAGGACCTTCGGCTGGTCCTTTTCGATGGGAGAAAACTGATCTCAGTCCAAGTGGTGACTGGCCGAGTATTTCCTGCACAACAAACACACGTAAACTAGCCTCGGGGGTGGTGCCAAGGAAGGCTCCTCCGATGATAAAGTCAGTTCAGTGTATTGAGAGAGAAAACTATGCAAGAGAATTAATTGCTGAGGCTTGTATTGAATAAATGTGAAGAAAGACAATTGAAGGCTTTTATACATTTGCTCATTGGATGGACTGGGCCCGGAAGTCAGATGAGCTTGCCATGCGGACTGGGCTTATATGACTTGGCATGCTTGAGAGAGTTGAACCTTGCTTTTGGGCTTTGTAATTAAAACCTTTGGACCGGCCCAATGAAAGACATTTGGACCCAAACAACTTGCCCCCTAGACCCGATTCGGCAGGGTGACGGGTCGGGTTTTGACTTGAAAATTTGGAGGGGAGTAAATGGTTTTAATTAGCATTTAAATTTGGTTTTAGTTAGTTATTGAGGTTGTAACTACTGTTTTTAGAGAGTAATGGTGGAATTTAGAGGGTTTAGTGGGTAATTAAGTGGAGAAGGGTAGTTAGTGGGATATTTAGTGGCACGAATTCCCATAAACCTGTTCAGAAAAAGGTACAAATAGCCACTCGTTCCACTCTCTCTCCTCACTTCTTTGCAAACACTTTCTGATTTTCGCAATTTACCCACTGCAAACCGTATTTCTGTTTCCGAGCACTCTCTGCAATTCCGAACCTTAGACTGAATTCGCTGCTCCGAACGTGTAGATCGGCTAATTCCGCGTCTAATAGAGGTAATTTTCTCCGAAACTTGTTCGGATTTTCCTGATTTTTAGAGCATTCCCCTTTTCTTTCGATTTCTCGATTTCTCGCAAAAATGGCTCAAAACCGAGGAAAAAGACCAGTAGTTGCTGAAGAGGAGGAGGAAACTCCTCAATTACTTTCTCGGCGCAATTGGCCACTTGGGCTGATGCCGCCTTTGAGCAACAGAATTCCTCGTCCCAGGATGGAAACTTAGACTTCTTCGGGTGACGCTCCCACTGCTGCAGTGTCGCTGACGTCAGTGCCTTTTCGAGGCTCGGAAGAAGCAAGCACCTCTGGCAGCGGCTCAACGACTGGGCCCCATGACTTGCCTAGGGTCTCAGAGTGGGATAACCCCCCCGAGAACTATGGGCTGATGACCGCTCCGTATGACTGGTGGGTCAACGGGAGCGTTCTCCATTTCTTTGTCGAACAAATTGAAGTATTCTATGGCATAATGGAAAAGGATGGGTATTGGTACCGAATGCCCACTGCCGAGGACAGACTTCATCGGCCCCCTCCTGGTTACATTGGGGTGTACACCAGGCAGCTGCAGTTTGGGCTGCGGTTTCCTCTGCACTCCTTCATTGTTGAAGTGCTGAACGGGTACAACATCTCGTTGTGCCAGTTAACCCCAGCCAGCATCCGAAGAGTAATGATATTTCTTTGGGTGTGCCTCTTTTATGGATTTGAGCCGAGCATCCATGTGTTCCGAAAATTACACGAGCTGATGGGCCGAACCAACAATCTGATGAACACCATGGGTGGTGGAGAATTGAGACCCAAAGAGGTTATCTTACCACCTGGCCAAATGATACCTCAAATAAGGACTGGCGAGGCCAGTGGATCTGGATTCGGGCCCCTGCTGAGGAGGGTCACCCGAACTATTTTGGGGGACCGAGGTATCTGAGTATGTCAGATCCTCGGATGAGCGCGATTGGCCCGGATGAATTCTTAGCCGAGGAAAAGGAGCTGCTGACCCTTTTCGACAGAAAGAGAAATCCGGGGGGTACTGGCCGAATGTTCCAAGTGCCAGAAACTTGGCTGCCCTGCTACCATTACATCTTCAAAGAGAAGATGCTCGCTGCTGTCGGCCTCGGCCGAAAGTACCAAGATGGTAAAGAGTTCGGCTGGGGCCGAAGGCTTTTGTTTTTTCTTTCATTTTTTCGTTTTGCTTTGATTGACTACCTTTTTCATGCTGATTAACCTTTTGTTTTTGGTTTTTCAGTGCTGCACGAAGGGAACTGTGGCATCGACTATAACAAGCTCGGAATCAACGCTGCTAGGCGTGTGACGAGGAACGCCCCGACCATCACTGATCCTTCGGCTCGGGCCCCTTCTTTGCGTCCATCAACACTCTAGATAGTCAAACCTTGCGAGTACTCAAGGCAGAAATCTTGGTTTTTGAAGAGGGATCCTTTCTATCTCTTGGGCCCAAAAGAACAAGTAGTCGCTGCTGTTGCTACTGTGAGGGCACGAAACTTTGCTTTAGCAAAGTTTCCGAGCAAGCGCTGAGCCATCAACCTTTATTGCTGAACCTCAAGTGCTCAGTGCAGAAGACGAACAACTGCTGAAGACTTTGGTGAGTCTCAACTTTTCTCTTCTTTCTTTTTCTCCTTGCCTTGATCTTTTTACTTAGCTTTCCTTTGAACTTTTTCAAAAATTTTCTAAGTACTGAACTTCGGCTTAGGTATTTTTTTTTTGGGATGATATTCATATTGCTCTATGGCCCCCTGTCTCTTCTGCTACAGTCTGACGAAGAAGAAGGAGACAAAGGAGAGCAAGCAGAGAAATCATCTTCTTCGGACGAGTCCTCCGACGAGGAAATGGCGGGACAGAGAAGAAGGAGGGCCGTCATTAATCCTGGGCAGTTTCAAACTGCCGAGTTTGCTGCAAAGACGGCTGGATGAAGACCAGTCCGAGGTGGCTAAAGAAAAGACTCCCCCTCCTCTTGAGAAAATTGCTCATGTATGTGACGGTGGTGGTTATTTTCTCTCTCCTCTTGTTCCTCTGTTTTAGTGGTGGTTTTTCTCGATGGTGAAGGTGTTTTTTTTATAATTAAAGAAGGGGGTGGTGGTGGTTGCCTGAACGAGAGCGGTGAAGGGGAGTGTTTGTGGTGAAGTACGTGGTGGTTGTGGTGCGCCGTACGCAGTTGTGGTGGTGAAGGGCGTGGTGTGGTGGTGAGATGTATGTGTGGCCTTAATGGAGGGGAAGGGTAGGAGTGTAGGGGTAATTTGGTCTTTCACTTTTTTCCCCCTTATTCTACCTTAAAACTTGTGCCTATGAAATAGGTCAAGTAATAAAAAACAGAGGAAGTATGAAACTGTGTGCATCTGTTGATTTTTGACTTATACAAGCCTGACTCTACTTTTTTGCTTACTACTCCGTATGTTTCGTAGAACTGCTTCAGGGGGTTTTGCCAGTGTAATAGACCAATACGTGTTATTATGGCTTGATAATTTGAAACTGACACCCATGCTCTAAAATATAAATCTTCTCAATACACTGAAGAAAAAAAAACAAAAAGTTACTAATTTTTAAATATTTTAATCCAAGAATTTGTCTAATTTTAGACTAGTTTGTCCCGGGTTATATACGAAACCAAAATACTCCGTCAAAAATATATTGGTAATTTTTCGTTCTAGAGATAGGAATGTTTCTCTTCAGTAGTTTATTTAATAGTCCAAATTGGTTTTTAAACACCCCTACTTGTAACTACTCTTATGACTACTTATTGTGTTAATTAATGGGCTAACACTTTAAAAGGAATAACTAAAAAAAATCAAGCTTAAAATTAAGATTTAAACAAATATTACGAGATCATATGTGACTATCGTTTAAACCATTCATTTTTAAAGTCGATGTCATTGGCATTGGAATCTACAAGGATTCTAAATACGACAATTAACAAGGAATGGAGGGGTACCTATTATACTTTACACCCTCCATTTTTTTTTTAATACAACTTTTGATAATTGAATTTTTTTATATGCAACACTTGCTATAAAAATAAGATGGAGTATAAACTATTGTATTATCTCGTGGTCCTTATATCTACCCCACTTGGACTTTTTTCTTTTTAATAATTCTCTTCTATTGCATTCTTTACTATTTAATTAAACTTTTTTTTTTTGAGGAAAATTTAATTAAACATTTTTTTTTTAGGAAAATTTAATTAAACTATTAGCCAATATTTGTTTTAATAATCTATAATTTTAATACAAACCTCCCACAAAATTCCTGAAAAAAAATTAAGCCACCAAAAACTCAGCATTAGTCGTAGTGTTGATTTTTTTTTAAAAAATAGAGTAAAAATTTAGGAATGATTTTCTTATAAGAGAGAGAAACTTGATCCATAAACTTAAAAAAAAAAAAAAAAAAAAAAAAGAAAAAATAAGGGATATAATGTAAAACTAAAGATGGACTTGGTGTTGTAATCTGCAATGACAATAAAAATCCGTTAATTGCAGCTGCTAGATTACCATGATACATATCCAGCTATTGCCAAAGCTATGGCTCCTCAATTTGTGCTACAAATAGCAAGGAGATGAATATGATCGTATACAACAATGCAAGTCTAGAGAAATGCTAGAATGATCCAACTCATCCAAGCAACCAAAAGAATGAAAAGTCATAATATGAGTATATGACTACCTTGCTACATTTAGTTCCAACTTCTGAGACCAATTAACATCATCCATAATCAACAGCCTCCTAGCTTATGATCAGAGCCTCAATGTCCCAGAAAACGAAACAGCAAAACATAAAATATAAGCTAGCAGAGCAATCTTTCCTAAAACTCCACATATTTCGTTGAACTACACTCAAGCATACTGAGAAGATTAAAACCCATGTGATACATTAGGTTTGAAAGATTGAACAGAACAAAATCCAAAAAAAATACAATAACAAATTATATGATAAACTGAAAGCCATTCAGCTAATGTGCAAAAGAGCCTAGAAATAGAATATCTTGATATTCACTTGATAACGCAAAGAACTGGTCTATAATTTAGCAAGTTCAGTCTTTGAATGATCTAAAAATCTCTTAGGACAGAGCTAGCTAGGCATATCAACCAGGTAAAAAAAGTAGATTTGTATCTTAAGACTTCACATTAGCTAAAAATCAATCACAGGCTGATTATTACAAGACTGAATAAAAGGTAATTTAAGCACACCATCTCATACAACTCTATTCAATCTATTAATTGATTACTCACCATGATCAGGAGCTAGGGAAACTGCATCTCTTATGCGAATTACTAATATCAGGAATTATAGCCTCAACACTTATAGTTTCACCCTTAGTATGGAAGAAAGCATGACCACATAATTTGAGGGTTGGGGGGGGGGGGGGGGGGAATGTGACTAGAAGAGACATGCCAAATGTGACTTCAAAAAGTATTAAAAGCTTGATGCAACGATTACTTGAAAAAAAAAAAAATTGATACATGATATTGGTAAGCCTCCAAATGCAATACTCCACTAATATTACAGATAACCATAATCATAAGTGAAATTTCAACCTCAGCACTACACAATGCAAGTAATATAGTAACATCGTCATATCATATAAAACTATAGATAACCAGAGAAGCAGGATCTAAACATAAACCATAATTTAAAATTATCAAAAGCCAAATACCTTACAATTCATATCTCAAAATACATTCGAAGCAAAGCCTTGTCTGAATCGCTAACAGCATGATCAGTTATGAAGCTAAGAAATAGAGAAGCCGTGTGAGCATCCGCAGCAAACGCTTTAATTCTCATGGTACTGACTAGTTCCAATGCCTTGCTGACATCCTTGCCATAAAGATATCCTTTAATAATAGTGTTGTAGGTACACTCATCAGGTGAACACCCGTTGTCCTCCATTTCATTTACAAGTTTAGTAGCTTCATCAAGCAAACCCTCTTTGCAATATCCTTTTACAAAAATATTATAACTGAATACATTGGGCTGTAAGCACTTCGCGGGCAGAGAAGTGAAAATATCCACCGCTTCTCTAAGGCGATTAGCTTCACAAAAACCATCCATTAGGATACTGTATGTAATAATATTAGGGACCATTCCAGTACTCTCCATTTGCTTCATTGTTGTAATTGCCTCGTCAATTTGTCCATTCTTACACATGCCATCAAGTAATGAGTTCCAAGTGATTACATCTGGCTTTAGTCCATGAGCTTCCATTTCCTTGAAAAACTGGTGTGCAAGCTTGAGCTGATTGACTTTGCACAAGGCATCTATAAGAGTGCTGTACGTGATAACATTAGGGGCTAATCCGTCACAATGCATCTCTTGGAGCAGACCAAGAGCTCTGTCAGTCATGTATTCAAAAATGTCCTGTGCTTCACCAACCTTGCCATCTTTACAATACATATCAATCAACATGTTGTAGGTCTGAATGTCAGGAGTTATGTTGTTCCTCAACATCTCAGTCAGCATCTGTTGGGCCTCTTTCTGTTGTCCCAAAGTGAGCAGACCTCGAATTAATGTATTATAGGTGACAACATTAGGGGAGATTCCCTTGACTTTCATCTCCTTGAAAAGGTGAAGAGCCTGAGGTAATAGCTGGTCTTTACAGAGACTATCAATGATGGTGTTATAAATGACAACATCAGGCATAAAATGGCCATAAGACTCCATATTTATAAGGAGTTTGAGAGCACCGGCATTATCACCGGACCTACAGAGACCTTTGAACATAGAACCATAGACAACCAAATCAGGTTGGAAGCCAAGCTTGAGAATTTTATCCAACAATGGAACGGCTTTCTCAAATTGATTAGAGTGAATGAAGCCGTTGATGAGAGTAGTAAAGGTGACAATATTAGGTTGAAAACCAAGTTTAATAATGTTGGCGAGAACAGCAAACCCCAAATCAACAAAGTTCAAACGACAGTAGCAATTAGCAAGGATGTTAAGGGAGTAAATATTTGGACGAAGACCTAAGAAAAGGAGCTGCCTGTAAAGAGAAATGACAGTGGAGAAAGGGGGATGGGGTTTAATCTTGGACATGGCACTCAATAACATACAGAAATCAATGATAGATGGAAGAGGTCGCATCGATTTCATATGTTGGAAATGGGAAAGGGGGATTTCAACATTAGTAAACCCTAATTTGGATTGTTGTCTAACAAATTTGAGAAACAATTTGGGGTCGTCATCATCAACAGCAAGAAATTTAGAGCAATTGGAATAACAACGAAATCCAAGTAGAGAGGTGAAGAAATTGTAATAAGAATTGCAGTGAAGAAGATTACCAGATTTAGTCGCCATCTTCATTGCTCAACTCAGTTACTCAACTCGAAGACGGAGTAATTCCTCAGTTAAGAGTTTTAAGGGATTGAAGCCTTATTTCGTGTATGTTTTCTCCATTTCGTGTATGTCAAAAAAAATTAAAAAAAAATAAACAGTTATAGACAGAGGGGTGGGACTTTTCAAACCGAACCGTGAAACCGCCCGTTACCGAACCGAACCATCACGGACCGATCCGTTTATAAATCGATAAATATAAACCGAAAACCGAACTGAAGCGTTCAATATCAAACCGAAACCGAATTGAACCGCTCAATGTCAACCCGTTACGGACCGTAAACCGATAACAAACCAAACTGCGCAAATCCGAACCGAAACGAAACCGAACCGAATGGTTTATAAACCCGTTAATGACCCGAACCGTTTATAAACCGAAACCGTTTAAACCGAAAAAAAACCGTTTAAACCGAACCATTTGTAACCCGCTAACCGTTTAACCGACCCGTTTATGAACCGAAACCGTTTAAACCGCACGTATAAACCGAACCGTTATAATCCGCTAACCGTCTAAACTGAACTGCCATAACCCATTAAACCGTTAAAATCGAACTGTTTTCGAATCGCAACCTGTTTAAACTGATCCGATTACAAACTGCTTAATTCAAATTGAATTATTTACAACCTAAATGGCTAAATAGTAAATACAATTAATGCTAATAAATGTAGATCTAATCAAACGGCTTAGGTTTATACAAAGGTTTATATCACCTAGATCTAGGCCAACGACATTATTAATATCGTTTTAGATTACTTATTTATTTTAATTACAAGATATATCATTTGTATCATTTTCATTCCAGTAATAATGCTAGTCCACCCAAATTATCTTCATTGTTCCTTGATATTCATGATCATCCAATAACACTCAAAGCCTCAAAGGTAACATAAGATTGGAGATGTATGAGATTGTGTTACACAAGTGGCATAAGCATTAGAATATTACTGTACTAGTCAATAAGGCGTACAATCATTCACATTATCACTTTATAAAATTTTCTTATACAAGTATTTTGTAAAGGGGAGGACTAAAATGTTTATAAAACACATTTTTTTTAGCTTTTCTTATATTAAACCAGATATTAAGTAAAAGAATTTTAATAAATACGGAGGCATCCCAAATCTGTAGCCACAATTATTTCATAACATTACCACAAATCCAGCAGATAAATAGCATTAAAATTAGAGTAATATCAACAAGCAATTAAAAAAAGTCACCATTTTCATTGATTAAAATTCACAATACATATACCAATACATAATGAAACTACTATCACTACTACCCAGATTAGATTTCAGATTTATCAACTGAAACATCATCAAGTTTAGGGTTGCAAAAAATGATACATTATAAGATGAAGGGAGGAGTGAGAATGTGAGTGATTTGGGAGCAGAATCTTGAAGCAGAATCTTGAAGCAGCAGCACAACACCCAAGAGTAGAGGAAATAGCAGCAACAAGCAGGAACCAACACACGCAATAACAGATCAGCAACTTATCAGAAGCAAGGAATAATATAAGCAGAAGGGACTCAGCAGGAACTTATTTTTGTTTTTCAAAATTGCTCTCAGATTTACGTTTATCGTATCATCACTGAGCAATGGTTGTTTTAACTTAAAACTTGAAAAATGCTGCCAGCAAGTACATATACATTGAAGTCTCAACATAAATGACAAGGGCAACGATGATTCAAGAAAAATTAAAACAGCAAGCATAAGAAACAGCAGCAACAAAACTTATCATAAATTCATAACACAAAAGGCAGCAACACAACACCTCAAGCTGGCAGGAGGCAGGAACCAGCTCATGCAGGCAATAATATAGGCAATAACAACTCAGCAGAGACAACAACCAAAAGGCAAAAGCACTACCAGCAGGCAGCAGCTCATAACAAGTTCAAGCAACTTCAAAATTATAGCTTTTGTTTTTTTAAAATTGCTCTCAGATTTACATCACTGAGCAATGGTTGTTTTAACAAAAACTTAAGAAATGCTGCCAGCAAGTACCAAAATACATTTAACTATTTAAGTCTCAACATAAATGACAAGGGCAATGATTTTAAAAGTCTTGAAAAATGATGCCAGCAAGTCTGAAAATAAATGACAAGGGCAACGATTTTAAAAGTCTTGAAAAATGCTGCCAGCAAGTCTGAAAATAAATGACAAGGGCAACGATTTTTCAAGATAAAATAAACCACAATGAGACACAAATACCAGTTATGCAGATGAAGCACTTTCGGCTTCAATCTCTTTACCAATAAGGAGGACGTCTTCCTCAACATCCGCTTGATAACCACGGCACCAATTTTGGGTGGTAACCAATGCCTCAACATTCTTTGGCAAAAGTTTACCCCTATATCCTCAAAAAGAAAAAAGCATACATAAGAAAAGCTTAAACTTTTTCAAAAGTTTCCAATGAAATTATGAACTTATAAATAAACATGAGATGTTTATTTTACTAGCCCTAAACTGGCATTTATTTTATGCACATAACTGTAGAAAGTGACACAATTTGGTCTTTTGTTAGGTAAAAAGCCAATAACCACATAATCTGAACAACCCATCATCATTACTTTTAAATCGAGCATAATAAACAACAAAACAGCACAAATCTACCATTTTCCCGTAAAAAACAAAAATACAATCAACAACAGATTTTAGGCATATTTCGACTATATTCAAGCAAGAACAACAACAATAATCAAATACAAAAACAGAAAAACTGTATTAAAAAAAACGAAAAGGAAAAAGTAATTACCTTTGACGGCTTGAAGGAGATTTGAAGATGGAGAACTGCCTGAACTGGAGATCAAAAGAAAAAATCAAGAATGTAGATTATCAGAACTTGAAATAAATAAAAAAAAAAAAACCAAAACCAAAACGAAAAAAATCGAAAAAATTAACAAAAAAATTACCTTGAGGTTTGACGGCTTGAAGGAGAGGAAGATTTGAAAAAAAAAACGAGAATGGAAAAGTTAGAAATCAGAACTTTAGATCCAAAACAAAAATGAAACGAAAACAAAAACCCTAAATAAAAAAAGTAAAAAACCGAAACGAAAACGAAAAAAATCAAAACGAAAACAACAAAAATTAACAAATAATTTCCTTGAGGTTTGACGGCTTGAAGGAGAGGAAGATTTGGAAAAAAAAAAACGAGAATGGAAAAGTCAGAAATCAGAACTTAGATCCAAAACAAAAATGAAACGAAAACAAAAACCCTAAATAAATAAACCGAAACAAAAACGAAAAAAATCAAAACGAAAACAACAAAAATTAACAAAAAATTACCTTGAGTTTTGAACTTTTGACGGCTTGAAGCCTTCAAATTGAAGGAGAGGAAGATTTGAAAAAACAAAAAAACGAGAATGTAAAGCGAGAAATCAGAAATGTAGATCCAAAACACAAATGAAACGAAAACAAAAACCCTAATTAGGATTTTTAAAAGTTGAGAAGTTGAGCTTGAGATTCTTGAGAATTTCAGAACGAAAGAGTGAGAAACTGAGAAGTTAGAGAGAGAAACTATGAGTGAGTAAAACGGCTGAATGGCTGATAGAGTGGGTTTTTTTTTCTAGGTTTAGGTTTTACTTGTTCAGTTGATCTAACCGTCCATATTCAATCTCAACATCTAACCGTTCATTTTTTTTTTTTTGTAGATTCCAGAATATTCATCTAGATCTAACGGTCTAGATTTTTCTTTGTGCTTTTCTAGGTCTTTTTGACCGTTTTTTTTAATTATTTATTATTATTATTATTTTGAGGGATTATCATTATTATTATTATTGTTATTGTTAGTATAATTATTTGTTAATATTATTATAATTACTAGTTTACTACTACTATTATTATAATAATAATAATAATATTATTATTATTATTATTATTATTATTACTATTATTATTATTATTATTACTATTATTATTATTATTATTATTATTATTAGTTTATTACTTATAAGTTATCAATTGTAAGAAACGCAAATGTTTCAAAATTGAAATTGATTCAATACGACATAGTTAATGACTTAATGAGTTAATGCACATCAATATCTGACATCTCTATATGTATATTATATATATCTGTGAGTCTGTGACTGTATATCAGTATATATAATAAACTAATAATAACTTAATAAGTAATACTAATAACTAATAAAGTAATGAAAATCTAACCATTGTTTTTCATGGGCATTCAATCTAACCGTTGTATATTTGACTATTCGTACATTAGTATTGCATAATGATTTCATCACCACTTTAATTAGTGATTTCGTGATTTCGTCCATTTAACTTATTAAGTTGTTTGAGTTAGTAATCTAAATAAAGTAACAAACTACATAACGAATCCATTTAATCTCGTGTAAGTTATAATTTATAAGAAATGCAATGTTTGGAAATGGAAATTGATTCAATACGATATTGTTAATGTATATGTAATTATAGATTAATTATTATGTATATCATATCGTACGAATGTACGGTTGGTATCATTATCATACTATCATAAGTATCATTGCCTCATTGAATTATTGGTATGTACTACAATCGATAAACATATTTACATATCTGATTATTAAAACTTAAAAGTTTAAAACACTTGTTGATCAATCTAATAGAATACTTGTACATTCTTAATTATCGATTTATCGTATTATAAGTATCAACTCATTAAATCATGGTCATGACGCGATCTTTAAAACAATCATGAATTCATGAACCAAACCGCTTATAAACCGAACCGACATGATCCAAACCGTTCATAAACCGAACCAATTGAACTGTGTAAACCCTCCGGCCCATTTCAAACTGAACCGACATGATTCGCACCGTTTATAAACCGAACCGATATTGACCCGGGTAAACCCGCCCCTAAACCGACCCATTTCAAACCAAACCGGCTTGATCCAAACCGTTTGTAAACCGAACTGACATTGACCCGGGTAAACCCGCCCCCTAAACCGACCCGTATCAAACCGAACCGACATAATCCGAATCGTTTATAAACCGACCCGCTTATGACCCAACCCGAATTTAAACCGCAAAGAAATAAACCGAAACCAAACCAAGCCGTGACTAACTCAAACCGAACCAAACCGACCCGCCAGCTAAACTAAACCGTTTCAATCCGAACCGCTTCAAACCGAAACCGACTCAAACCGAGGTCAAACCGAACCGCCAGACCGAAGTCCCACCACTCATCTAAGATCAACATCCAGTTCACTCCATTTTCTCACGGATCCCTCACTTGAGCAAAATGTCTCTAATGGG